CTTTCCCCTTCTTCCTGAATATGGGAATATACTGGCTCCAGAGTGATGGTGGTTTTTTGCCTTGTGCAGGCTGTGCAGAGGGCCAGATGGACTGAACAGTTCTCCCAGCTGGGAAACAGCACAATGGAGACTTCATACCTGGCTTGTGGGCAGAAATCACAAAAAAAAAGCTTCTATCTTTCATAATGCCACATCTTATATGTAACCCAGATGTATTAGATAACTCAGCCATCACACTCCTCGAGTTTAACCCTTGGCTGTCAAGGCAGAGCAGTGCACCAGCAGAAACAGAAATTTTTGCCTTCTGAAGAACACCTGTGGGTGCACCAGTTTACCTCTCACTTTGCTACTGCTTGCTATAACATGCCTATGAATGTAAGCATAACCATACCCTCTGGCAATGCCTAAATTGGGCTAACAGAGTATTAAAGTATTTGCCAACTTATTTTAATAGATGTAACTCAAACACAGGTTTAGACAGTTCCTAAGAAGTTGAGCAGAAACAAGTTTTGTAAATCCTTACAGTGAGCCTGTAAAAAAGCAACCACCACATACAAGCAGTCTAGCCTTAACTTCAGGTAGGGCTGCACAGCCCTGGCACTGCCAAATGCCACAGATGGCAACTCATCACTTAGCTTGTGTCTTGGCACCAAATTCCAGGAGTGCTGGGGGCACTGACCAACATGCCCTCAAACCCAAAGCTCACAGCCCATGCACTACACCTATAACCTGAAGATGACCCGAGTTCCTGGGTCTGTATGTGCAACTAACCCAGGACAAAGCACAGTGCTCCCCTAAATGTTCCGCTTGGGAAACACACAAGTTTTGAGGAGCAAAAATAAGAACCCTGCCCCACACATCACGTTTGGCACAAGGAGAGGTGGGGGAAGGCATTCGGGGAGACGGGAAAGACCATCCCCGCTGCTGCAAGGAGGCACTGAAGGGTGAATAAACGTTTTTAAATGCGACTGTCACTTACTTATCCAGGATGAAGTAGAGATCAAAGGCACCGTGACAGGAGCGCTGCTCTTCTTGCTCTTCCTCCTCCTCCGGCCGGGCGCAGGAGGTTAGGATCCCCATTACCAGCAACAAGCAACACAAAAATGCTGCCTTCTCTACGCTGCTCCTGCAACTCGCCATCTTTTCTCTTACTTAATTCTTTCTCCTCCCCCAGTGTCTCTCTCTCGCTGCAAACCTTACGGGCTTTTTGTAAGCACCGAGGGCAGAGAAGAAGATAATAAAAGAAACAACAAAAAAAAATCCTAACTTCGGGATCTCAGCTCAGCCCTGCGGGCTCAAGGCAGCCCTGCCCTCCGGGCAGCGGACTGCTGGCTCAGGGCTAGAGACTGAGCCAGTCGGATGGTCCCCTGAGCCCCGTCCCCATACCCCGCCGCCTCGGTGGCTCAGCCCCGTCCCGCAGAGAGGGAAGAGTCTCCTCTCGCAAAGGCCAGAGGCAGGAAGGGGGAGAGGGAGGGAAGAGGGTGGGAGGGAGACAGGATCTTATGGGGGCAAGCTGAACTGGGACTTTCCTGTTCCGGGATATCGAGGTGGAAAGGCTGCTGCGAGTGGGAAAGCGAAGTTAGGGACCGCTGCGCCCCAGCCCCGTCACCCCCCTCGGGCGCCAGGCGGGGGTCCCTCCC